CACTGTGTTTCCAGTAGTGCTAAAGGCCTACTTTCTCTAAGACCTCGTCAATACTTGTCAGTTTTTTGAGAGTGTGAGGTGGCCAACACATTTAGAACAGATCCTATGGTCTACAGTGCGGGGAACGGATAGCCTCAGACAAGTGTCTGCGACTTTGAGTAACAGAGCTCTGAGGGCTGCCTCTCACCTCTTTAAGACAAGAACCAGGCCCCGGGAGAGGATCTCAGTGACCGCACGGTGATGCCAGGCTGCTGAGGTCAACTGTGCCAGGCACTGCGTCTCGGAGACGCCTCCCCACTGTCTCCATTCATCGGAGAATGCACTGGCTCTCAGATTTGGCTGTTGCCCCTCTCTGTGAAGTGGGAGCAGGGCCGATGACTCTTCTTTTTGGGTTGGACTCACTGTGACTCAGTTGTGCTCATTTCACATGCTAGCAAGGGTATGCTCAAAATCCTTCAAACTAGGCTTTCGTGGTACGTTGTTGGTCCTTTATTGGACTCCTGGTGGTCCGGAGTCAATGACGAGAGAGTGAAAGAAGGAAAGAGGCTAATGTTCCTTGGGTTACGCAGCTGGCTTTCGCGCTCCAGGGAATCAGCCAGAAATAGAGAGAGAGAGAGAGAGAGAGAGAAAGAAAGAAAGACACAGGGACCCAAGCTATGATGGAGCAAAAGCGTTTTAATCAACAAGGTGTGGTGGGCATATATACTGTCTTACAAGGTACTTATTCTCAGCAAAGATAAAGATTAAGATTCCAGACTTACAAAACATAAGGCAGTCCCTATTAAAGAGACAGTTGTAAACAATCACTCCCTGCCCCCCCCCACCATGGTTCACAAGAAGGAAGAGGGTACTTATCACCGTCTTGAGAAACTAACAAAGGAAATGCCTGGATTCCTCATCCCCTGGGAAGGCATGCCTCGCCTCTTAATTCCTGAATATTCAGGAATTAATAAGGACCAGAGGATTCCTGACAGATCCAAAACAGCACACAGGAAGCCTCCTGTTAAATGCTTCCTGGACAGTACGTGAACTGAGAACTTCCAGATGTACAAGCTGGGTTTAGAAAAGGCTGAGGAACCAGAGATTAAATTGCCAACATTTGTTGAATCCTAGAGAAAGCAAGGAAATTCCAGAAAAAACACCTACTTCTGCTTCATTGACTACACTAAAGCCTCTGACTGTGTGGATCAAAACAAACTGGAAAATTCTTAAAGAGTACCAGATCACCCTGGGCTTCCCTGATAGCTCAGTTGGTGAAGAATCTGCTGGCTATGCAGGAGACCTGGCTTCTATTCCTAGGTCGGGAAGATCTGCTGGGGAAGGAATAGGCTACCCACTCCAGTATTCTTGGGCTTCCCTTGTGGCTCAGCTGGTAAAGAATCCACCTGCAATGCAAGAGACCTGGGTTCGATCCCTGGGTTGGGAAGATCCCCTGGAGAAGGGAAAGGCTACCCACTCCAGTATTCTGGCCTGAAGAATTCCATGGACTGTATAATCCATGGGGTGGCAAAGAGTCTGACACGACTGAGCAACTTTCACTTATTTACTTACTCACCAGACCACCTTACCTCTCTCCTGAAAAACCTGTGTGAGGATCAAGATGCAACAGTTAGAACTGGACATGGAAATACTGACCTGCTCAAAATTGGGAAAGGAGTATGACAAGGCTGTATGTTGTCACCCTCCTTATTTAACTTTATGCCAAGTATATTATGAGAAATGCCAGGCGGGATGAATCATAATCTGGAATCAAGATTGCTGGGAGAAATATCAACAACCTCAGATAGGCAGATGGTACCACTCTAATGGCAGAAAAGGAAGAGGAACCAAAGAGCCTCTTGATAAGGGTGAAAGAAGAGGGTGAAAAAGATGGCTTAAAATCCAGCATCAAAAAAACTTAAGATCATGGCATTTGGTCCCATGGCAAATAGAAGGTGAAAATGTGGAAACAGTGACAGATTTGATTTTATTGGTTTCCAAAATCACTGCAGGTAGTAACTGCAGCTATGAAGTTAAAAGATGGTTGCTCCCTAGAAGGAAAGCTATGAAAAACCCAGACAGCATTTTAAAAAGCAGAGACATCACTTTGCCAACAAATATTCATAGTCAAAACTATGGTCTTTCCAGTAGTTAGGTTCAGTTGTGAATGTTGGACCATAAAGAAGGTTGACACCAGAGAATTGATGCTTTTGAATTGTGGTGCTGGAGCAGACTCTTTGAGAGTCCCTTGGACAGCAGAGAGATCAAACCAGAGAGGTCAAACCTAAAGGAAATTGACCCAGAATATTCATTGGAAGAACTTTTGCTGAGGCTGAAGCTCCAGTACTTTGGCCACCTGATGCGAAGAGCCCATTCATTGGAAAAGGCCCTGATGCTGGGAAAGATTGGAGGCGGGAGGAGAAAGGGACAACAGAGGATGAGAAGGTTAGAGTGCATCACTGAGCCGATGGACATGAATTTGAGCAAACTCCAGGAGATAGTGCAGGACAGAGGAGCCTGGCACACTGCAGTCCACGCAGCTGCAAAGGGTCAGACATGACTTAACGACTGAACAACAGCCTCCAAGTTGTCTGGTGATGCCAAAGTGTGTTTGCTGTAACTCTAGCTGTCTCTGTGTCTCCCTGGGCTCTGAGAATTTTTCTTTTTTAAACAGTATTTTATTGAGATGTGGTTCAGGTAAACACATAGACCCTAGTCTGCTGGATGAGTCCTTATGTTGTAAACAGCTGTGTGACCACCATCCAGGTCAGGCTCCAGGACATGGAGCTTTCCAGCACCCAGATGATTCCTTTGGGCTCCTCCCAGTTGGTGCCCACCTCGGGTCATCACTTTTCTGACCGATTGTTGGATTTTGTCTAGTAAAACTCTCCCAGCCTGTGCTCACTCATGCCTGGCTCCTGTACACAACTGTGAGTGTCACTGATGATCTTGCCTATATCTTTGGTCCCTTTTTATGCCAAGGGCTAGTCCAGTGTAGTCACATCATCATTCATTTTTCCTTTCTCCTGCTCATGAACAGTGTGATTCCAGTGTGGGGCTACGGTGAGTGAAGCTGTTTTCCACACATGCATATGTTTTCTTTCTTTTTTTTTTTTTTTAAACTCATTTGATCCATTTTATGGTTAACACTTGAAATACATTTACTAATTAAGACAACCAACACTTTTACTTTTATTTGCATTTATTTTCTGCGGCATTTATTCCCGGGCCATAAGTTTTTGTTTCTTCAGTTTCTTCTGGGATATCTTTTTCTTCTGTGCAACCTCCTCTTCTGGTTTAGGAACAATCTGTTCTTTTTCAGTAAGGATCATCTCAATGTGGCAGGGAGAGCTCATGTAGGGGTTGATCCGACCGTGAGCTCTGTAAGTCCTGCGCCGCATCTTGGGGGCTTTGTTCACTTGGATGTGCTCAATGACCAGAGAATCTACATCTAAGCCCTTAAGTTCAGCATTACTCTCTGCATTTTTGAGCATGTGTAGTAAAAATTCAGCACTCTTTTTGGGCCACCGACCCTGCGTCCAGCCCCACTGTTTGGCCTGTGCACACCTACCAACTCCACCATTGTAACGACGGAATGGCACACATTGCTTCTTTAAAGTGACATCCTTCAGATACTTGGTGGCTTTTTGGATATGCATACCCTTTATGGCCTGGGCAGTCTCACGAGTGTTCTTAAAGTGAACACGAAGATTTGAACCTCTTGATTTGCATGATTTTGTGGGGTTTTCTGGGTCGAGTGAATAGCGCACCATGTTTAAGGGTCAGCTCAGGCCGCTTACCGGAAAAGCCATGCATATGTTTTCATCTCTCTTGGGTAAACATCTAGGAGAGCCTGGGCACAGTAGAGGAAGAAGATTCGCCAAGAAGTTTCCAACACTCTTGTATTTTACACTCCAACCTGCGGTGAATGAGAGCTCCAGTGATCTTTATCCCAGTAGATGAGGAAATTGTCTCCCTGTTCCTGGTGTCAAACAGTATTGCAAAGCTTTTCCCCTTCTTTTCCTCCTTTCTGCTTCAACTGTGCCATCTGCCCCTTAAATCCAGTCAAACTGTGGTTGATCTAGAAATATAGTGGGGACAGAGGGTGTACAGAGGAGGCATGTGTGCTCAATCTATGGGAACATCTCAAATAAGTCAGTCTTTGAAAATTCTGGGGCACCAAGGCAAGCCCAAGAATAGAGAGAGGTGCAGACAGGTTCTCAGCCCCAGGGCACCTGCTCCACACTCAGTACCTATAGGACCCTCAGCTGCTTGTCCTGGTTGGACATGGCGTCCCATCTCTAGCACACAGTGGGGCCTACTTAATCTTCGGTAAGTCTGTTGTTGCTGTGTGTTTCCTCCCCAAACCCCTTTCTGACCAAAGCTGATCCTGAGTCTGTTTCAGTCAAACATTTCCATTAACAAGGTACTGGAAGCAATTAAAGACAGTTATTCAACATATTGCCTCCAACTCAATGTCACTTGGAATATTTTATTATGTCTGAGATGTCTCTGCTCCCCATTCTAAAGCCCAGAATCAAGAGAGAGAAGAGAGAGAGAAATTCACAGAGAGGAGGGGTCAGAAGCTCCCGGGGCATCATTATACACAACGATAAGGGAAACTCCGTCACCAGGTTTTCTATCTTCAAAACATTTCTTTTTACATGATTATGCTTTTATGTGAGGAGTAGAATTTTAAAGGGGAGGAATACCTTTTTAAGAAGTGGAGTAGCCTTATATGGCTCAAGCTGCTGCTAGTGAGTTGTGTGACCTTGGATATGACCCGTAGATTCGCTGAGCCTTAGTTTCCCTGTCTGCCAAATGGGTAGGAACTAGGCCTTCCTGCAGCACTGCCACCCCATGCCCAGGCAACACCCCATCACACAGGTCTTGCCGAGCAACCTCACTGTTGTCTGGACGTGACACAGCCACATGCTCAGGGGCTGTGTCTTCTAGAAGCTGTGCATGTGGTGAGAATGTCTGAGCCTATGTGAACTATTCCAACTGGGGGTGGAGGGTAGCAGGAGAGCAGAGGGGGGAAGGCCCTGGGAGAGGAGCACCCACTTCTGTCCTCCATCTTCCTCCCTACCTTTCTTCCTTCCTCTGAACTGACTTCCTCCTGCTCCTGGCTCCTCCCCATTGAACAACAAACTGCATTGAATTCTGTGTCTTGGCAAGTCCTTCCTGTTGCAGAGGTCTGCCTAGAGAGCGTGCAAAGCAGCAGTGTTCACACAGGCGATGAAGAGCTGGCCTTCAGGGACACCCAGCCTCCTTACGTAAACCCAGTAAGTTCCAGGGCTGGGGGAGGCCTCGACAAGGGGGACGCAGCTCTGGGGCTCTGAGGAAACAGCTCCTGATGGGATGACAGGAGGCCGGGGGAGGCCTCATTCCAAAGAGAAGAGATGAAGGGCAGACACACCAACCAGGGTGGCCCTGCCACAACTTCTGCATGTGCCCGTCTCCCCAGTGCCGCTCAGGGCTGAGGGTCACCAAGATTTGTGCATGTGACAAATGTTTACTGTGCTCTCTCTTGGTCTTTCTCCTGTTCTAGGTGCTCAGAGGGGGAAGAAGAGTCTAAGTAATAAATAGAAAAGTGAGTTTATTTTTTTTTTTAACATGAAGGAAGGTAAACGTCTTCTGGGAAGGATAACAATGGAGCATGGCACTTAAGGGCACTTACTTGGAAGATGACCTCCCTGGGTTCAGCCATTTACTAGCTGGATGACCTCAAGCCAGTTACTTTACCTCTCTGGGCCTCAGTTTCTGCTTGGGTATGATGGGAATAATCAAGTCACCACCCAGAGCTTGGGTAAGGATTAAGCAAGGTAGTACGTTGAGAGAGTTTGAAAAGTATCTTATCTGGCCCACTGTGGGGGGCTCTGAAAGTGTTTAGAATTGTTAGGAGTCTGGGGGAAGGAGGAAAGTCCTCCCAAACAGATGTCTGGCATCAGAGGGTTGAGAGAGCAAGGCAGGCAGGTCAAGGGTGTCTGAGAGAGACTGTCCCAGGAGGGCGGAGTGGGCTGCCCCTGCACTGTGGGGTGCAAAGGTCTCTCTTCTGGGCATTTTTACCTCCTGTGTGGAGGTCTTGTCATAGGTGGCCTTGTTTAAACTAGTGGTTCCCCCCCTCTAGGCATGGACTGATGTTTGTGCATGGCCTGGTAGGAACTCAGCTGCAGAGCTAATGAAGCTCCATCTGTATTTATAGCCACTCCCCATCACTCACATCTTCCCATCCTTGGAAATATTGTCTCCAGTGAAACTAGTCCCTGGTGCCAGAAAGATTGGGACAGCTGGTTTAAACCCTTATCATCTCCACATCATATATGTATTACTGAGGCTCACAAAGGTGGAGGCCACTCATAAGGTTCCCAGGTGGTAAGGGCTGAGGAGGGAGGTATCTTGATTTCCCTCATCCTGGAGGAAGGAGGTGTCCACAGAGAGTGCCCTTGGGGAGGAGGAGGCAGGAACGCAGCAGCCTGGGTCCCAGGAACTTTCTGAGCTCACTGTATCCTGGCCCAGCCCTGCAGTAGGAGTCTCTCCCGGGCTCAGCTTCCTGAGAGGCTGGGCAGGTGGGCTGACGGAGCCCTTCATGGGCAGGGGGTGCATGGGGCATCAGGTGCTGGGACTCTGCTTGATCCGCACTCAGGCTCACCTCCCCAGGGGCCCTGGTATGGCCTGTGTGCTCCATGCAACGGCCAATGCCTTTCAGCCCACCTAGTGAGGGCTCCCGGGTGGGGCTGGAGGAAGCTAGGCTGCCTGGTGGGTGCCTCCACAGTGGCCTGAGTCAGGATGTGTCGCCTGAGTCTTGTTCTCCATCAGATGGGGGACCCGGAGCCGCTTCCGGGTTCAGCAATTTTATTATTCTGATGACATGTTTTTACTCTCTAATCCTTGGATTCAAAAGCCCAACTGTAGACAGGTCACATGACTTGGTGACATCAGAGCTGCCAGCACGGGGAGTTGGGAGGTCAGCCTAATCTGTGAGGCTATAAATCCAACATAAAAACCCATCCTCCTGGGTCATAGGAAGCAAAGGCCTGTGCTGCTCTTTCCTGCTAAGATCAGATACACACACACACACATATACACACATGCACAGAGGGGTCTTCGGCAATGCCAGGCTTAAACCATACAAATTTATTTCCTTACAGTTCTGAGGTTAGAAATCTAAAATCAAATGTCAGCTAAGCCGTTTCCTTCTGGAGTCTTCAGGGGAGAATGTGTCCTTGTTTATTCCAGCTTCCAGAGGCTGCCCACTTGCCTTGTCTTGTGGCCCCTTCCTCCTCCTGCGATTTTTTTTTTTTTTTTTTACTGTGTCAGGTCTCAATTGTGGCACAAGGGATCTTCACTGTGGCCCGTGGGCTCTCTAGCTGTGGCCCAAGTGGGATCTTAGTTCCCCAACCAGGGATCTAACCCTCAATTGCTGCATTGGAAGGCAGATACTTAACCACTGCTGGACCACCAGGGAACTCTTCGCTTTCTCCTTCTCTAAAGCCAGCAGCTTCTTGCTTCTGTTGTCACATCTCCTACAACCAACTCTCCTCTTCTGCCTCCCTCCTTGCAGACCCTGTGACTATTGGGCCCACCCAGATATTCCAGATAACCCCCACCCCCACAATCTCAAGATTCTTAATCATACCTGCCAAGTTCCTTTTGCTGGGTAAAGTAACATATTCACAACTTCTAGGGATTGTAATGTGGACATTTTTGGTGGGGAGTGAAGGAGACTTTTGGGCCTAGAAAAGAAAACAACATTCTCAAAGGCCCTTGCTGAATCATCTCACTTTGGAGAAAACAAAACAGAACTTTAGTTCCACCCTGATGCTCCAGGCCGGTTGCATCTATCTGGGACTTATCACCCCCTGCCCGGAAACCTTCCACCCCCTACACCTGCCCAGAACACTAATCACCCCCTCCCCAACTACAAATGCCATCTCAACTAAAGATACCTAAAACATCCTGCCTGATTAACATTTCCCTTATTGCTTCCACAAACCTCCCTATAAACATGGAGCCTCCCTGATCCCTCTCGGCGCTCAGCCTGGTCGTTAGGCTGACGGTCGCCCCTCCTGGATGCCTGAGTAAAGGTAACCTACTTCTGTTGAGGTCGTCTTTCCTTTTCTGCCTCTGCCGGAACTATACCTTACATTCTTGGTGCTGAAACCCGGGAGGGGGCGAGGCACTCATCTCACTCTCTCTCACTCTCTCAATCTCCTTCCCTCTCATTGTTTTCCCTTTTCCCGGAGTCTGGGAGCAGGAACGTCATCGCCCAGCTCATTTTTCTGCCAGGGCTCTTAAGTTCCCCTCAGGGATGCCTAGTTCCTTTGTGAGCGGTGCAAGCCTTGTGCTAAGGCTTTATTGGTGCTTTGCGTACCCCCAGGCCTCAGCTCTACCCCCTTTCCCTCTCTCTCTCTCTCTCTCTCTCTCTCTCTGATGACCTCCGGAATAGAGACCTCTTGCCATACATGCAACACTCCACTTAAGCCGGCCCCTAGATTAAGGTAAGATCCGATCCGGACGGAGTTCTAGAGGCGCCCTAGAGCTCAGTCCTCTCTGGGTCCCGGGGACCCCCGGCCCAGGGCCACTCTGTAGGGGACGGTGGGGGACGCTCCACCTCGACACAGAGCTCTCTTCTCGTAACTCCTATTGCAACTACGGGTGACGACTCGAGTTCCCAATAGGAGCCTCTGCTTGCCTTTCAATTATGGAATCTGGCCAATCTGTCCCAAAAGATTCCCCTCTGACCTGTGTTCTCAAAAATCTCAAACCACTTTCACTCACTGAACTCAAAGCTAACTGCTTAAAACAACTCTGTACACAGATTTGGCCTCAATACCAAGTAGACAATCAAGACCGCTGGCCTGAGGTTGGCACATTTGACTTTAACATTCTTCAAAATCTCACCGACTTCCTTAAACGGAATGGCAAGTGGTCGGAGAGCCCATATGCCCAACTCTTTTGGGCCCTTCGGAGCAGGCCCTCCCTATGCCAGGCCTGCTCCATCCACGAGGTCCTCCTATGCACTTTGCCTCCCAAGCAAAAGGGCTTTTCTTCCTCAACTAACCGCAGACCGCGACCTTCTGCACCCCCGGAGTTCGACCCCGCGGATGAGCCCCCTCCCTACCCGCCACCCCGCCGCCCCTCTCCTTCCCCTTCATCCAACTCACCTGCTGGCACGAAACCTCTCCTGACTCCCCCTCAGCCCCGCTACCCCATCTCCCCGACTCCCCCTCCCCCCACCTTCCCCCCCTGCCACACGGTCACGTACCCAGCACATGTTTCCCCTGAGAGAGGTGGCAGGACCAGAGGGCCCCACCCGAGTCCATGTGCCATTTTCATTGCCAGATATGAGCCAGATAGAAGAAAAGCTAGGATCATTTTCTGAAAATCCTACCAGATATAGAAAAGAATTCCTGAGACTCTCCCAGGCCGTAACCTCACATGGAGTGATATATATTATATCCTAAGTGCCACTCTCACCCCAGATGAAAAAGACCGTATCTGGCAAGTGGCAAAAGCCCATGCTGATCATTTACATAACCAAGACCGGGATAGCCCAGTTGCTGATGAGGCGGTGCCTCAGTTAGATGCCCACTGGACTTACCAGCCCAGTGACCCAGGTATCAGGAGACTCAATCATATGATTACCTGCGTTCTAGAAGCAATGCAGAAAAATACTCATATCCATGTCAATTATGATAAAGTCAGGGAAATCACCCAAGGGGCAGACGAAAATCCAGCCTTATTCTTGGCACGCCTCACAGAGGCAGTCCAGAAGTATACCAACCTAGATATCACTACCCCTGCTGGGTTACTCTACCTTCACGTTCAGTTCATCAGCCAGTCTGCTCCTGACATCAGACGCAAGCTTTGACAACTAGAAAAGGGCCCTGAGACCCCCCCCAAGAGACCTTCTAGAAGTAGCCTTCAAGGTGTTCAATAATAGGAGGAGGTTAAGAGAGAAAAAGAACGTGAGAGAAAAGCTAAATATGCCTTTTTGGCAGCAGCAATTAAGAGAAGAGATCAGCCTGGCCCAAATCATCCCAGAACGGAACTTAAGACACCCCCACCCACCCCAGACCCTGCTTCCAATGCAACCAGTCAGGACACTGGGCAAGGGCACGCCCAAACCCGCGCCCCCCGCCCCCCACAAAAGCATGCCCAACCTGTGGCCAGTGGGGACACTGGAAGATGGACTGTCCCCAGGGAAGCCCTGGCACCCCTGGGGAGGTCCCCACCTCCCAGACCTAGAGAGTGGAATGTCTACAGGGATGCCCTGGGGCAT